CTATCTACTCAAACGTCTTTCCTTCTCTAGTTTACCTGTCATATTTTTAATGCATTCTATCTCAATTATTTTCAATATCTATTTGTGTTTTTTTTTCTATTTCAATCATATTTTCATCCAATAAAACTTTAAATAGGTGCAAGACTTTATCTTAAAATTATTTAGATACAAATATTCATTCTATTAAAGGACAAAAAAAAATCAAACTGAAAGAAACGTAATGGAAAGTCAAGAAAACACAGTCAACGGCAAAGCAAGCATGATCATCAACGGCCACCATCTCCCCATCATTGACTTGACGCCTTCCGTTCCTCCGCACACCAGCTTCTTATCATGATACGTGCACACCGGTTGCTTCCTGCAAAAAAAAATAAGTAACGCGAGCGATAATCCGTAAGCAACCAGATCACCGATAAAAATAAAAATAAAAAACTTGAAAATAAAGAGACTTTATAAAAATTACCTGGAAGCACAGAACGTAACGACATAATCTGTACCCGAGCAAGTGAAAATACTCGTCGGGTCATCATACGCGTAACTATAAGCCGTAGGGCAAGCCTCCTTAAACTTCTTCGAATAATACGTCGGCTGGCAAACCACGGGGTTGCCGTAAACCCCACGGCAACAATACTCATCCGTGTCGAACACGTCACAAGCACTCCTGCACCCCACCACCTTCCCTCCACCGCCGCCGGCCTTCACCGCCAGCTCCGGCGGGCACGTGGGCCGGAGGTCGGCGTCGCAGCCGGTCACGCTGCAGTTGCCTCTGCCGTTGATGGGAGTCACCACCATGGGGACGTTGAACCCGTCGACGAGGCTGACGTCGTAGTAGTCGACGGCGGCGAGGGAGAACTCGGCGAGGGACGCCGGCGGTTTCCCCGAGGCCTTGCATTTCAGGGAGTCGCCGCAGCTTCCGGTCAGGCAGGTGCCGTTGCCGTTCTTGTCGAAGCTGCAGCCGGTTCGACCCCATATCCGGCCCGACCAGCCCACGGGGGCGGTGAAGACGATGGACTGGTGGGGCTTGAGGGCGAACCCGCCGCCGTTGAAGTTGTCCCCCGGGGTGATCCCCGGCCAGATGGTCTCCTGGCAGTCGTTGATTATGGTGAAGATTCGCGCTCCCTCTGCGGTTATGATGGTGAGGAGGAGAAGGAAGAAGGGGAAAAGATGGTGAGGAAGTGGTGGCGCCATTGTTGGGTTGGATATGGAAGAGAGGTGGGGAAATGTGAAATGGAGGATTTAAGGTGAAAGAATACGTGTGAAGGGGACGAGCGAAAAAAAATAGGAGACACGAAAATATTTTTTTTTAAGTCACGTACCAAGTTAGATGGAGATAGTACTCTAGGGGGAATGGAAGCTGGCTTGAGTGCAAAGATAGGTCGAGATTCTTTTCCCTAACCTGCCATGCAAGTTTATTCTGATTCCATGCGCTTTATGTCGTGTATGTTTTATTATAGCTTATTTTATATATGTACGTTGCTGCGTTGCTCTTTCTATACTTTGCTGAGCAATGTCACGGTGAGCTAATTTGTATGTTTTAGCTTATTTTATGTATCGTTAATTCGAATATTTGCATAGTTTCTTCACGACTCACGAGATTCAAGAATCAAGATGAAATTAAAGAAATTGGCGAGACAGGGAGATGGTATATAAGCTTTCAATTTTTTCTTTTTTGGTTTTAACTCTTTCATGAAGCGCGAAGGATATTGGTAGCTGGTATGAGTGTCGTTTTCAGGTCCCCAACCCGAAAATCATAATAAGAGCATAAATCTCCCTGAACTTAGAAACTTCTAGATATACTTATTAAAGCAACAATGTTGTTACTGTTTCATAAGGGTTTGACTAGAGTATTCTGCTGTCATTTTTTTCTACCTAACCTCCCATCCATTAATCAACACATGGGGATGTAGTGGACAAATCCCTCCTCCTCTGAGAAAGAAAAGATGTAAACGAGAAAGAAAAGATGTAAAGTGAATATAAACCATCCATCATATAACTTGAGCCATATCTGTTAATTACAATGTTGTTACTGTTCCGTAAGGGTTTGACTAAAGTATCCTACTGTCATTTTTTCTACCTAACCTCCCATCCATTAGTCAACACGTGGGGATGTAGTGGACAAATCCCTCCTCCTCCGAGAAAGAAAAGATGTAAAGTGAATATAAACCATCCATCATAACTTGAGCCATATCTGTTAATTGATTTGCCCACAATTTTGTAAAAAAAAAAAAAAAGTTCAAGCCTTAATAGTTTGAACGGGGATGATCCTAAGTAGCCTAGTACTCTCCCGATAGCAATTTCGGGAAGCATCATAAAATAATCATCATCCCCCACTGAGCTAACTACCACGGGTGCAAAAGTGTATAGAAGGTCTCGCCCGCGCTGAAAAAAAATAGTTTGACAGTGAAATATTTTTACTTTGAAATTGAACCATGACAAACACAAATCTTACCGTGATATGATGCTTCATCATCCATGAGTACCCTAGGGTGGGAGTGAGTGACAAACCAGTCCCAGGGCCGTTCCCACTGTTCGAAAATTTAACATGTGACCCTAATTTTTTTCTCTATAAATTTATTAAAAATAAAATTTATTAAATAATTATAAAAAATACATAAGTTCAGAAAATGATTTCAAATTGAATAAACGATCTCGCTTCCTATTTGACCAAGAAACGAAGACCAAATTCTCACTCCTAGCAGGGAGGGGGAAAAGTAAATTTGGAGGGAACAAAAAATGGATATAGCATATATCAATTAAATTTGCATCTAATTCCTTAATCATTAATTAGCATATATCATATAGTGATGTTAAGACCTTAGTTCTTGATATAATCTCTCTTTGCTAGCAAAACAACCCCTTCACAAGTGAGAAAAATGAGAGAATGAGAGGGTTATGTAACACTTGGACTCGCAAAATTTACACCCCAAAAGAGTTGTCGTTTTGTCTAGATCACTCTGAGCAAGATGAGCCTGTCGATATTCTATATATCAAATGACGGAAAAGTTAGAAAATAAAACTTGTTCCAGATATCTCCACATCTCGACAGTCGTCATCTCAAAACGACGAAGACTCAATCCCGTTTGAAACATCGCGCGAAACACGCAATCATGCAATCATGTGAATAACCTTTAGCGTTGTTAGCCATCCAGTTAGCCAATTCCTTCCTCGGCAGAAGCATCGGTGAAGAGTTGGGCCAAGGTTTTGGAAACTCAGGGCTGAACACATATGCAGAAAAACCGGGGAAAAGGGGGAAAAGTTACAACGAGAAAAAGGCAAAGGCAAAGTTGATTTGAGAAAGCCCAAAGCCAGTTGGCACACGTGTGGTACTAATCATGCTTGGCACCAATAGAACCAATCATTCACTCCATTGGATTATCTTCCCCTCCCAACTTCTGCATCTGTGTGCATTAACAGAATACAAAACCTCTTTTTTGATAGTAACAAATTACCAAACCTCAAATAAAGCATATGGGTTAACTTTCCAGGAAGTTGGCATGATTAAAAGTTTGATTTCATTTTCATTTCTAATATCAGTTGTTGAAATTACTATATACTAAAAGTGTTCACAATTTAACAAATATTAATAATTTTTACTATGCTTTGGGTGTCTATTTATGGCTTCTACTGTGAACTCATAAAAATTGGTGCATATTGTGTATCCTATCCAATAAAACTAGAGTTAACATATCGAATTTTGAATTTTAATTGGTAGCATTAGTCTAATAAGATGAGATGTCATATGATCATAATTAGTCCGTACATTACTCTAAGCCATAAACCTTAAATGATGAACTTTGACCTTGAATCTTAAATTCTAAGCCATCAACACTAACCATAGATCTCTAAACCGTTAAATTCAAATTAAATCTTGAATGCGTTTTGTGTGCAAGTTCGTGGATTTTTTTACACATCGTATCACAAGTGATGATTGATATCGTTTTAACATGAATTGCATGATCAAAATGATGATTATGAGGGATGTATATAGCATGCACATAAAAAGTGAATGCATCGAAAACAAAATCATATATATATATAGCCAACACTTGAAGTATGGTATATTCCATCTTACACCGTGCCATCTTTTGCACAGGATAAAGATCTTCCATCAAGTTTATGCTCTTATTTCATATATTTTGGATCCGGAACCGAAAGAGACATACTTTGTGTAATCGAGACGTAAGAAACTTTAAAGTATTGGAAGTTGATAATCACTTCGAACAAGAAATTCACATGGTCCATGAAACCGTACCGGACATCGTACCGGGAAAGTCAGCGGTAGGGTATTTTATGGTAAAACCGTGGTTTAACCGTAGTTCAACCGTTATGCCGGTAAATGCCGCCTACCGGTTTAGCCTCCGATACTGGTATATCGTGGTTGAACCGCCGGTACGGTACGGTTTCATGGACACTGGAAATTCACTTGAATAACTTCTCCGGGGTTAATCGCCCCGTCGTTCCCCTTGTTGGTCAGACGACGACGAGACTTGTGAGTTGTGATATAGCAAAACCATTAATTGCATAAAATGAAAGTTGGTCACAAGTGCATTCTATAAAAGAATACTTCTGTTACACCGATATGAGTTTTCTTAGTACTGCACGTCTGCAATTCAACTTTCGCCCAATTATGGTTTAATGGTTATGACAAATGAGTTTTGGAAAAGAGAAAAGAGAAAGAAAGCTATTAAACGACCTATTTGCAAATTGCAACAGCTAGACAGTGGAGGAAAAGAGAAGAAGAAACAGGGGAAGTTGGATATGTCTCCCCAACCAATAGAAACCTTTTTGGCGATTGATCAAAAAAGCTAACAAGAGAAGGAAAAGAAAGAAAGAAAAAAGCAAATATTAAGAACTGATGCACGTTCATTTCCATGGGAGAGGGTAGGGGCTGAGGATGAGATAGCAACAGAGGTAAGGCCCCCACTTTTGGTAGAGTTCAATTATTACTTGGAAATTTTCTATCCCATAAAGCTGAATCAGAAGGGAGAAAGAAAGTAAGAAGGAAAGAAAGAAAGCAATTCTCTTTGGTGTAGCTTCTATTTATATAACACATTCTATGAAACACTCTAGCAAAGTAGAGCCTCATTGCCACCATCATTAAGCCAGGAAGGCAGGCCAGAGAGAGTATAGATAGAAGAAACCACCCTAATGGCTTCAGAGAAAGTAGAGACAGTGATCGCAGGGAACTACCTGGAAATGGAGAACAGGGAAGGTGAAGCAGCAGAAGCAGAAGGGAGCCCTGAATCCCAAAAGAGCAGGTTTTCAACCTTGTTCTGGCATGGCGGCTCTGTCTACGATGCCTGGTTCAGCTGTGCTTCTAACCAGGCATGCATATCTTATACTATATAAACCGTCACCAATTTGTTTAATTAAATGTTTGGATTTTCGTTGATCAAATGGGTCTTCTTTTCTTGGGATTGGGTTGTTGCAGGTGGCACAAGTTCTGCTGACATTGCCTTACTCATTCTCACAACTGGGGATGCTCTCAGGGATCCTTTTCCAGCTGTTTTATGGGTTGATGGGAAGCTGGACTGCTTACCTTATCAGTGTACTCTATGTAGAGTACAGAACTAGGAAGGAAAGGGAGAAAGTTGATTTCAGAAATCATGTCATTCAGGTCATCTCTCTCTCTCTACTTTCTCTCTTTCCTTTTCTTTTTCATTGATTCATTGAATCAAAGTATTGAACTTTTCCAATAATTTATTGACAGTGGTTTGAAGTTCTTGATGGGTTGCTGGGAAAGCACTGGAGGAACTTAGGCCTCATCTTTAACTGCACTTTTCTACTATTTGGCTCTGTCATTCAGCTAATTGCCTGTGCAAGGTACCACTCTTATCTTCACTCTCTTATCATTCCTCAACACACTTGTAACCAAGGTTTTAAGTTGCTGAATCAATGTAATTACTTATATATCTGCATGACGAATCAAAATCGATTTGCATTGCAGCAACATCTACTACATAAACGACAGCTTGGACAAGAGAACATGGACATACATATTTGGAGCTTGCTGTGCAACAACTGTGTTCATCCCATCTTTCCACAACTACAGAATCTGGTCCTTTTTGGGCCTCATCATGACTACTTACACTGCTTGGTATCTCACAATCGCTTCCCTCACTCTAGGCCAGGTAAAAAATTACCCATCACCATTACCTTAATCCAATCCATGCTACATAAGTAAAAAAATGCTTACTTTCCTCTTGAATTGAAGGTTGAAGGAGTGAAGCATTCTGGTCCAACCACCATGGTCCTCTACTTCACCGGAGCAACCAACATTCTCTACACCTTCGGCGGCCACGCTGTTACTGTGTGAGACAAAAACCTGCAGATCAAAACCCTAACATTCTTCACTCAATCGTATCAGTAACAGAGCTATGAAATCTAACAAATTCACTCGTTGCAGGGAGATTATGCACGCAATGTGGAAGCCCCAGAAGTTCAAATCAATCTACCTGATCGCAACGCTCTACGTTCTGACCCTGACGCTGCCATCGGCTTCCGCCGTCTACTGGGCATTCGGCGACCAGCTGCTCACCCACTCCAACGCTCTGGCTTTGCTCCCCAGGACGAGATTCAGAGACGCCGCCGTGGTTCTGATGCTGATTCACCAGTTCATCACTTTTGGGTTCGCCTGCACTCCATTGTACTTCGTGTGGGAGAAGTTGATTCGGATCCATGAGACGAAGAGCGTGGTGAAGAGGGCGCTGGGGAGGCTTCCCGTGGTGATTCCGATTTGGTTTCTGGCAATCATCTTCCCTTTCTTCGGCCCGATCAACTCCACCGTTGGGTCGCTGCTCGTTAGCTTTACGGTCTACATCATCCCTGCTTTGGCACACATGGTCACTTTCTCTTCGCCCTCGGCTCGAGAGGTTAGTAATAATAACAACATTAATCTGCTCAACCTAACTCACTAAAAATCCAGCTAACCAAAAGCCATTGACCAAGATCCAATAAGTTGGCAAGTTGATAGGTTTCTACCAAATTTTTATTTAGGACCTAAACTTTGTTTGTGATACACTTTAGTACCTAAATATTCTAAGCCTTACAGTTTTGTACCAAACCTCTCTCTTTTATTTTACAAACGGGTAAATGCCACATTTGGTCACTGAGATTATTAAATCGTGTCATGTTTAGTCACTAAAAAATTTAATATCAATTTTGGTCACTCAAAATACTGAAACAGGTCACATTTAGTCACTCTCCCGTTAGCCTCCGTCCAACTCCGGCCACTCGAATTACTTAAACATGTTACATTTGGTCACTCGAATTACATAAACACGTCACATTTAGTCACTCTCCCGTTAGTTTCCGTCCAACTCTATTAATGGAATTGGACAGAAACTAACGGGAGAGTGACTAAATGTGACGTGTTTCAGTAATTCAAGTGATAAAAATTGATATTAAATTTTTTTAGTGACTAAACATGACACAATTTAGTAATCTCAGTGACCAAATGTGGCATAAACCCCTTTTACAAACTGGTTCAAAACTTTAAACGCGAGTTTCATCCCACTTTTTTCAATCCATATAATGAAAGACTGTGTTACGAAACTCCTATTTCGGTTGTTAGCACGCTCATTAATCCGCACCAGAAACTAGGTCTTTGAATACTTTATCCCAACAACTCTGGAACCAGACTGATGGCGTCTCTCAACACATCCAAAAATGGATTCATAGGTCAAATGATCTCTCTTACATGCCGAAACCCACAAACTCGTAAAGCCGTGAACCCGCAGAACCAACCCATATGATTTCACTTCTACTTTAATACCTCAATGAATGAACAATGAAGTGAGTGAGTGAGTGATTGATGAATTGATGACAAGTGAATGAATTAATGTGGGTGTTGTTGGTTTTTTGTGTTTGGCGTTTTGGTTTTTTGGTGATGAACAAAACAAACAGAATGCAGTGGAGAGGCCAGGAAGAATGATGGGAGGGTGGGTTGGACACTTCTGCATCAACACATTGGTGGTGGTATGGGTCTTTGTGGTGGGCTTTGGGTTCGGAGGATGGGCCAGCACCGTTAACTTCGTCCGTCAGATTAACACCTTTGGACTGTTCACCAAGTGCTACCAGTGCCCTCCTCACAAGCCTTGACCAGCAAGCAAGTACAGAAACAGAGCAGAGAAAGCCAACATCAGCAAGCAAATTAGCTACTTCACTCCAGTCAGTGTGGCATGCATGTTTAGTGTAAAGAGAGAGAATTTTTTTTTTTTTTCGTTTTCAAATTCGCGACCTTTCTTCTGTTTAGAACTGCGGTTCAATCATGTGTGCGCGCGTGTGTAACTTTCATTTGCGATTGGTTTTTTCATAGTCTTGCTCTTGCCTCCCTTTTTCTTCATAACAACAGTTAGCTTAGTTTTGCAGAGTCTATAGTCACATTGTTGAATGTTGAGTGACTGTATTTTGTTGATCATTCAGAGTTGGAGATATATATATGTATGGCTCTTTTTTACTTTAAGAGCTTGTAATGTGAGGAGGATGCATCAACAACATTCGAGATCCCTGGGGAAAAGATGCACAATCATTTTCCAAACATCATCAATGAAAATTTCCAGCTCAAACAGAAAGACAATGTTGATAATGGATATAATTCCAAAATATCAAGGAGGCTCATTAATTTTGTGAGGTTCCATATGTCTATTGAATTTCCCAGTTAGTAGTTACCCAATTTTTTTTTTTTATCCATAGGCTGTTTTTTTTACACATATTTTTCATCCATGATAAAAAAATACTTTATTTTTTATTCACTAACGAACTAGAGATAAAGAAACAGTTGAACCATGATTAAACTATGGTTCCAACATTAAATACCAATATCGCCGACTTTTCCAATACAGCCTCCGGTACGGTTTTACTTCGTGTTGAGAATGGTGCTCTTTGTAAGTAGTAAAAGTATCTAGAGTCACAGTAAAGTGCCTCTGGAATTGATTCATACTAGAACAAGTGAGCTTGTATAAGAAACACAATCAGGCAATCAGCACAAACACAACAACAAAGCGACACACAAGCTGAAGCTCATCTTCTATCTCTCGCCTAGCAGGGGTTTCAATCATAATGTGGAAGCTCCAATTCGGATGTGCATTATAGTCCAACAGCAAGTTTCCAAGCAAGTAGCTTTCTTTCTTTTTCCCCCGTTGAATTCCAAGCATAAGCAAGTAGCTTTCAAGATAAATATTTATTATAAATTTATAATATATATGATTGTTGAAAACAAAGCAATATCAGCTACGTGTAACACTAGATCAATGAAACCAGAGGGATATTCCATTTCCAGAATATGATCACATGATTGTCTTGTCGAAAGTTGGCAAAGCAATTCAAACTTATCGGTGATCGAGAAACCCCAAGGAAGAAACCACAACAGGGAAAAGAGAAGAAAAGGTAATGGCAGAAGCTCAGCTTAAGTTCTTACTGCAAAGATGGGAGTCCCTTTTAGTTCAAAAGGCTGATATTTTTGCCGGGGTTGGAGATCACCTCGGAAGGATTCGACGCACACTCCAGGAGATGGGAGGACTCCTGGCAGAAAGAAGCAGTTCAGAAAGCGATGATGGGTTCTGTAGCTGGGTGAGTGAAATCCGAGATTCACTCCTCAACATGGACGATCTCGTTGACGAGTTCATCATTCACGTGGATCAGCAAAATGATTCGATGGGTGGCAGCATGCTTACATCCGAATCCTTCAAGCTTGAGCTACACAAGGCAGAAGCCGACCTGGAAGAGATAGTCAGCAGAAAGCCTGAACTAATTCATGAGAAAGGAGGTCAGACTAGCTCTGCTTCAACAACAACTTCAGTTGATGAATTCAGGTCGAAATACAGCAACTTGCCTTACTATCTTCAATCTTTATTGTTGTACTGCTGCATCTTCCCTGAGAATCACTGGATCTCCAAAGGGAAGTTGATCAGATTACTAGTAGCTGAAGGTCTGGTTCAAGAGGAAGCTGCTGGAAGATTACCAGAGGAAATAGCTGACGAAAACATCAACGAACTGATCACTCGAGGGATGATTTACAAGAAGAACGAACACCCAGGTCATGGAACCTTCATTGCTGTTTGCTCTCCTTACTACACAATCCTCCGCCAAACATTTGTATCTGCTCATGCTGCTACAGATTCAGCCATCCCCAGTAGAGCACGCCGTGTTTGTACTCCTGATATGACACAAATTGCAGAAAAACTGAAGAATACTCGACCACGTACTTTGTTGTCATTAGGTAATCAGGATGGTCTAGAAGGGAACTGGCTGAGTTTTCAGGGAGCGAAGTTTCTAAGGATCTTAGATCTTGAAGCAGCAAGGATCAAGAGCATACCTGAAGAATTGGGAGACTTGATCCACTTGACATATCTTGGGTTGAAACACAATGATATAGTTGATCTTCCGGTGACAATCAGCAATCTAAGAGCATTACAGACACTGGACATCAGATGGTGTGGGAGCCTGACTTCACTCTCAGGTGAGTAAGGGTGGCTAACCGGTTTTTGTTAACCAACCTGATTATATAGTCAGTACAATGTTTTTGCGTTTGCCTTATTGGTTTTATGTTAATGGCTAATGGATTTTCCGGTTATATATCGCAAAGTCACAAACATAACCAGGACCTGTACTATAACCAAAAGCCAAAAAAATATGTAAGTAAATCATTAGAAACACGAAGAAATAATTAAAATTTTCAGAAAATCCACCGAAGAACATGGAAAATCAGTTTATACCAGTCAATAAGTTTGAATAGGGATTTTGGTTTCCTGCTAACCACACTGATCATTGGTTAGTGGTTTTGTTAAAGGCTACATCAATGGCTTAGTTATGGTCCCGTGTATAAATGCCTTAACCAATTTTTGTCTTTGGTTTTTTGTTTTGGTTAACCATGCAGGTGAGATACTAAACCTGATTAGACTAAGGCACCTCAAAATGTTCAAGAACATGAAGATGCCAGAAGGCATAAGTAAACTTACAAACCTCCTTACCCTCACTGGAATACATGGTGGAGGCGACATTCCATTAGAATTGGGCAAACTGAGACAGCTCAGGAGTTTGGGAGTGATGGATGTTACTGAAGATACTGCGGATGCGCTATTTGCTTCTATAACTAGACTGCAAAATCTTCTCAGCTTGTCTCTGGAGGCAAAATGGAGTGCGGGTAAAGAAAAGCTCACCCTCCTCGATACATTTTCACCTCCACATCTTCTTCGGAAGCTTCGCCTAGAAGGACGTCTAGAAAATATACCGAGCTGGTTTCACTCTTTGAACAACCTAACAATGCTGAGATTGGGTTTCTCTCATTTGGAAGAGGATCCGGCGTTGGCACTCCAACAACTACCTAACTTGCAGAATCTCACTCTGTGGCATGCATATGATGGGAAGCAGTTGGGGAAGGAATTCTGCAAGGCCGGAGGATTTCCCAAACTTGAGATTCTCAGCATTGCTTCTCATGTCCTTGAGGAATGGACAGAGGTGGAGGAAGGAGCACTGCCTAGCTTGCAATACCTCCATTTCCACAACTGTTCGAGGCTGAGGATGCTTCCAGAAGGCCTGCAATTTGTCACCACATTAAAACAGTTGGATCTGCTGCCGCTGAATGATGATCATGTTGAGAGACTGAAACCTGATGGAGGGGAGGAGAACTACAAGATCGAGCACATTCCAACCATAAGATTCCTCCCAGTGTCTGCACTGAAGTTCTCACCCCCCAACTGATCTGCATAATAAAATGAGTGTGCCACCAAAAGCATACATATGTTATTTGTGGTTATCTAAATGCAGTAGTTACTGATATATGAACTGCTTTTGTTAAGTGATTCAATGGTAATCACCCAGTACAATATCAAGTATTATGTTATCTCTGCACATATATTGTTTGGGAAACACATACTTGTCAGTTTCTCAGACTTTTATGCATAATTAAGAGTAAATACCTGAATTTTCCATATACCATATCTAATCTGCCTTAAACTGCCACCATGCTAAGGGCAGGATTTTTAATTACTCCAGCATTTGACATTCCATCTCTTAACTGCCTAACATCTTCCCATTTTCCATCACTAGCATACACGTTGGACAGCATGACTCTGTAAGCACCATTTCTAGGCTCATTACCGAGTAGATGCTGGGCAACAACCTCTGCCAACTCCGAATCTCCATTAGCATCGCAGCATGATAAGAGTGCTCCCCAAATACCTGAATCCACCACGGGTTGCCCAAGTGACCAGATAAAATTGTATGCCTCATCCAAGTAACCTGCCATTCCCAGAATCTTTACATAGTGAACGCAGTGCTCAGTTCTTGGTTGAATCCTAAACTCATCTTGCATCGTCCTGAAAATTTCTCGGCCATGGGTAACAAGGCCAGCATGACAACACGCACAAAGTAGAGCAGAGAATGTGGACTCATCAGGTTGTAGACCGTTCTTCAGTATTTCTTCAAATAGTTTGAAAGCCTGTGAGGCAAGTCCATGCAACCCGTAACATGAAATTACAGTGTTGTAGGAAGTAATACTGTGGTTGCTTATACTCCGGAAGAGCTGAATGCCCAGTGTTAGAAACCCACACTTCGAATACATATCTATAAGGGATGAAGAGACCATGACATCCGATTGAAGACCATGTCGAACAACATAACCATGTATTTGAGTGCCAGCTAGGATATTTGCTGAGCGTGCAGCAGCTACAAGTAAACTAGCGATCAAGATGGGATCTAGCTTCTTCCCTTGTGCATTCAGATTCCTGCAATGAGTCAGCGCTTTTTCATAATCTCCACATTGGACATAGCCAGTTATCAAGGAGGACCATGTTACGAAATCAGGCTGATACAAGTTGGTAAACACAGCATAAGCCGAATTCATGATCTTGAATCTCGAGTACATAGTCACTAGTGCACTGCTGAGATGAGCATGACAATCAAAACCACTTTTCAAGCACATACCATGGATTCCTTGGCCAATTCCTAACAAGCTTGAATCCAGTAATCCCGAGATTAACCCAATGAAAGTGTACCCATCTGGCTGCTCTCCGTTTTGTCGCATCTCACGGAACAATTGTAGGCCTTTGTTCCAGAATCCCGCATAGCAGTAGCCGGAAATCATAACATTCCACAAAACCAAATCCGGTGCAAGCATCCCATAGAACACTTTAATTGCCTCGCCAACAAGACCAAGTTTTGAATAAGCCGTCACCAATGCGCTACAAGTAACCGAATCCATTTCCAACCCAGAAACTATGACTTCTCCGTGGACAATTCTCAATCCATCTTCGTCGAAATTCTCATGGAATGCCCTCAGAATGCAGGCGGCAGTAAAATTGTCAGGTTGGGTGCCGCCATTTCGGAGCATATTTCTGTACAGTGATAACGCATCCTCAAACTTATGGGCTTGAGCATACGCTCGAATCATGGAGTTCCAGAGGAACACGCTTCGTTGCGGACTTTTGTCAAACAGGTGGCGAGCAGACTGAAGGTCGCCATTCCCTGCGTAGAGCCTCACAATTTTTGTGGCGAAAAAGGGATCGAGGAAGAGGTGGGTTCTAGTTATATAAGCATGCAGTTGCTTGGTTCTAGCTGATGCTTGATGGGTCTGCGAGAGCTCCGAGAGAAGCAACTTGAATCGGATTAACATTGTACACATTAACCGCAGCCACTGCCAGGTTCTTTAACGGCCTTAGCCCTTAAGACCGAACACTTTGGAGACGAAAGAAGGGAAAGCCCGACCTCATCTACAATAAGCGCGATTTCGCGTTGCCCCTCGTTCAAAGGTTGCAACTTTTATCCTCTCCTGCAGAAGAAGAAGACATCTCGAAAGACGAAACTTGTCGCCAGTGACAGGTTGGAGGCGTTTGATTTGCAGGATAAAGAACTTGGACTTTACCGTGTTCTGTTTGTTTCTGTATACCCTCCATTATCCTCCTCCTGATATGTTAGGTCTCTTCTTGAACCATATTCTTCCACGATGTCTATTATAACTCGCAAGACCATTGCACCATTATACAAATAGTTATGAGTTTCATATGAAATGTAATCAAAACAACTGAAGATATATTGATAGAAATGAAAGATGTATCAAATATTAAAGTGATAATACTGTAGATTGAGTGTATCATGTATTAGTTTTAGAATTGGAAGTTTGATATTAATTTAGTCATATATATGATGGGATATTAAATAGAACCAAGTAATTTAAGACTCTAGAAGCAAAGATAGAAAACACGTCTAATAATTGCTTGTGATGTTCTTGACATAAACACACTTAAATTATATGATTGAAGAAGATGTATCATAGAAATGGATTTGATCTTGTTATATTTATTGCAACTTGTTTAAGATCAGTTGATTTTTAAAGAAAGGTAGAAGTGGAGGTGATAAAAATGATGATGATGAATGATAATGGTGGTTGAATTCAATAGTGTCACAAACCTTTGGTGCTTTGAAGATTGGGGAGATGAAGTTGCCTCCAAGCTTTTTCGTTTGTTGGAGATCAACAATGCTACCACAGCTAGCACCAGCCATCAATGTTGACAGCTTGCGTTCAACCAACTCATGCCAGACAATTTCATCAGAAGTTTATAGACTCATTTCTATTAAATCTCACTCACACCAATGTTATCTTCTATAGACCATGTGTTGTCATTCAATTCTCTATCTTTCTTTTATAAAAGGCTTATGAGCTTATGTACAAATCAAGCATTCAATCAATAAACCAATTATCCAAAGATTGTCTCACCAAATTTAACATGCCAGAGATGGATGCTGAATCTGGTGAAGGAAAGCCTAAGAAAAAGAAAAGGAAAGGAAAGATTTCATTGAGAGTTCCAAACCTTTCTTTCAATTCTTCATTCTTTTGTTCTTTCAGTTCCCTGTAGAAATCTTGTGTTTGTTCTATTTCCATACGCGTGTCCTTCCTTATTCCACTTTGGATATTTCCAAAAGACAAGTAAAAAAACCATTCCCACTTCCACAAGTAGATTAGGTCGGCTAACTCCCTCTATCAATAATTTGGACCGGTCTCTCCCCAACAATGAATTGGGCCGCCTCTCACAAGCAAGCCAAGTCAGTCCGCCAATAGCACTTTCATAGCCCATGAATTGGGCTTGTCAAATGCAGGCTTGGATATTGATTCAAGATCTCTTGCATCGTTAGAGAAGTGGATTGGATAATGCCCACAATTCGTCATTCCTTATGTTTCCATACTGGCATAGGGAGAAAGTCGGGATCTTCGTTATGAGCATATAAGGGATGGGTAGAGATATTTGTGTAGTATGGAGTAGGTGGGTCCCGGATTCCAACCTCATCATATGTGTCATTTCCTCACTCACATATCCCAAATCTCACTATTCTCGTTGCTTTCGAAAGGATAACTCGGCATCTCTTTAGTGGGATCCTCACGACCATCACCGCCAGCATCATCATCTAGATTCTGTGTAGATCGCCTGGATGTCCGAATGGTAATTTCAATGTCAGACCGTTCTAGACCCCAAGTTGGCCATCAAACGCCATCTAACTCAACAAATGGGGCGGACTCAACAGAATCAACATGATGCGGAGCAACATCTTCTCATGGTACCCCATCTCCCAAATTGCGGGCCTGCATAACTACCTCTGTCATAGTTGCTTGAATAACCACCACATTTGTAACCTCATGCAACACCATACCGTTATAATGGTGGTGATAAGAGGATTGATCGCCATCATGTCCGTAACTGGCTCCACCAGGATCGACATCCTCAATCTTAACATACACCTCTACAAGCCCGATCTTATTTTCAGCTACGAACTCTAGCATCATGTTAACCCCATCATTGTCAGATATGACAACTCTTTTGTACGTGACACTGCCTCCATCGATGTTTGGATATTGATAAGTAATTTTACAAACTCTTGTCTTGCCCACCATACGAATCATGTCTGCAAAAATTTCGTATAGTTCTTGCCACGGGAATCTAGTCCCATGGAGAAGAGGGAAAATGAGAGTGAAATAGGATGGGAGGGTCATATTTTTATTTTGAAATCAGATTGCACCTTGATCATTTTAGGGAAAAGCGATCAACATAAGATCACTTTTGACTAAAGCGATCATGCCTAGGCCACTGCACCTAACACAAACATTGTGCAGGATATTGATCGCGCCTGAATAAAGCGATTTAGTATGATCCCTTGTAACAAAAACGATCAAGGGAAAACAGGTGCACCAACCATAATCTGGTGGAAAAAACAGGTGCTCCAATCCTAACCTCGTGGTGACAAACTCCCACAAAGGGATGGCTGTTGGAGATGGTGAATCCAGCTAAATTAACTTGCTAGGCTAAGCACAATACGATTTCTGCAATGTTGATATAAGAGATTAGCTTGTAACGGGTTTTGTTGTCACATTTTTGCTCGAGGACAAATTTCATAAGACCGATCAAATCAAAATTTTCATCCATCTACTTGCTCCTTGTCATTGAAAGATTCACTTAAAACGACAAGAACACCATCTAGTTGCAAAAGTAGAATTTCATTTTCCTGCAGAATTATTTGATATCCTTCAATTTTATTGGTAAATAAACCTTTGATTTTAGATGGCTATCCAATTCTCTACCTGTTAGCTGCTAAATTATAATCAGCCACAAATACTAGTTTTGCACAAAAACTATTGGGCCAAGCTAGAAATTCTCTAGGTTAACCAGTAAATAATTGACCATAATGAGCAGTAATTTAACCAGCTGCTTATCAGTAGTGATAGTGATGTAGTCAGATTTTTATTAGAAGTCAGATTTTTATTAGAAGTAAGATTTTTTAGTAGAATAATTTAACTAGCTGCTTCTAATCAGTAGTGGTTTAGCCAGATTTTGAGGTTGATTGGGGCTGTTAAAATTTTAAAAATTAAGTTGATTGGGATCATTACGATTAAGTAGCATCGACTAGAGTATAAAATCTTGAATTTGAAAAAGAACACTTCTACTATGCTATATAGCATTGGTGCTTTAATGTACAACTTAAAGAGTTTAGATTGTACCATAAATGAATTTTTATCATTATGTTATGGTACAATTTTACCACCTGTAACTTTACCATCACATAAAGGTACAAGTTCAAGTTGTACCATAAAAGAATTTGTTCAAAAAGTATAGGTACAATCTGAAGTTGTACCATAACTAGATGTGTCAATTGGATCGGATTCGTGGATTCGTGGATTGGATTGGTGGATTCATGGATCAAAAATATTGGATCCAATGGATTGGTGGATTGATCCATGAATCCAAATGACATCCAAGGCTTGGACCAAAATGTAAATTTTGAAAAATTTTAGGTACCAAAATGTAAAATATAAAAATATAGGTACCAAATCGTAATCTGCCATTTGGATCCATGGATCCAATCCATGAATCCACCAATCCAATTGGATTTGGATCAAATGGATTGGATTTAAATGGATTGGATTAGGTGGATAATTTGGTGGATGGATTGGATCCATGGATCCAAATGACAAATTACGATTTGGTACCTATATTTGGATTTAAATGGATTGGATTAGGTGGATTCATGGATTTGGATCCTAATTGCCACCTCTAACCATAACGTTAAAGATACAATTTCAAGTTGTACTATAAAAGCAAAAACTTATAGCACCAATAATATATAGTATTGTGAAATTCTTCGAAAAGTCATACTAAATTCAGGGTTTTTGTTGTCACATTTTTGCCAATCCTCGGACCCTTCTCTTCGAACGGTCCCAATCAGGATTTCAATCTTACTCTAATGGTTCTAAACCTTTCAAAGTATGTACGACCCTAAAACTCTGAAACCTGGATGAGGCTGAAAACTAATATAAGAACAAACAACAACGCGTAAACAATATCAACCTCTGTTTTTATTCTTTGGCTTAAGTCAGCCGTTGAGCAAATGGACAAATCCTTATCCACAAACCAGTCACAGAAACGCGAAAACGAAAAGCATGCAGCTGCCTGCAGAGTCACTCACTTTCACAAAACCATAGGCTTAATTGCAAGTTTGGTCACTCGAATTGCTATAAAATTTCACGTTTGCCACTCAAATTAATTTATTCCATTTATAGTCACTCGAATTAGTTGAACAGTTCAAGTTCAGTCACTCTCCGTTAACCTCCGTTAACTTTGACTGACGTGGCGGTCAACTCTGACAGTTGACCGTTAAATGTGTGACGTGGCTATTAAAAAATAATATAATAATAAATTTTAATTATTTAATCATTACACCTCATTCTTACATACATTAATCTTTAAACGATGAAAAATAAAATAAATTTCTTTTCTTCTTCACGTAATCCGATTTCTTCTTCAGATGGGGAATTGGACAAAAAAATGCAGCGATTCAATTAGATCATCTGCACACAGTCTCTCGGGCACAAACTCAGTTCAGGAAACTCATAGTCCATCAAACCCTCCAGCCTCTCTGCTTTTCGGAGGAACAGAGCATTTCGACAAAGGGATTGGAAGTGAAATGAAGCATTGGACATAGGAAGTCCGGTACGATATGAAATCATCGTCTGGTAATTAAGGCACGAGGTAGATGGGGAGCTCGGGGATCACCTCGTTGATCAGCTTCATGCACCCCTCGAAGTTGGTGTTGATGCTGAGCATGAAGCGCTATTCGCGTTGGGTTGGAAGATGACGGAAGGGTCGGCCCGGCGTTGAACGCGACGTATTTGGAAAAGAAGATGGTGGCCGCGGAGGCAGCGGGCCTCATCGTGGATGTTATCACCGCCGAGATACTAGATTTGACGGAGTTAGAGGAAGGGGCCGGGTCGAGTGTGGAGGAGGTGAAGGTGATTACGGCTGAGAAAAGAAGAAATGACCCCTAATTTTTCGATGAAGATGATAGAACGATTCGTCATGCGGAAAATTGAGTCTCTGTTTTTCAATTAGGGATTTCCAATTCGGGTAACCAGCCCAGCCTCCCTGGGGAACAGATCTAAAATTACGGCAGGCGAATATGAATTTGTTGGTGTTGAACGATAATGGGAATTGGGAACTGTTGATGCGCCGCCGAACTGGAAGCAATTGTCGGATAAGGAAGCGGTGTAGCGGTGGTGTTTGATGTGGGGAAGAAGAAGGGAAAAGGTAAGCAGTTGGTGGCTTTTCCAATTTTGGGCTAACATACAGTGTGGTGTTGGAGAGTGGAGACGAAGACGATCTTAGGTTAGGAGTTTCTTTTTCAATTTGATAATGTTAATTATTATAATTTTGTGTTGTTTGTTTTTGTGATAATAATGTGGAAGAAATTTTTTTTCATTTTTTATAATTATAATTGTTTGTGATAATGATGTGTAATTTCTAAAATTTTAATTTTTAATTATTTTTTATTTGCCACGTCATACATTTAACGGTCAACTGTCAGAGTTGACCGCCACGTCAGCCAAAGTTAACGGAGCTTAACGGAGAGTGACCGAACTTGAACTGTTCAACTAATTCGAGTGACTATAAATGGAATAAATTAATTTGAGTGGCAAACGTAAAATTTTATAGCAATTCGAGTGACCAAACTTGCAATTAAGCCCAAAACCATATATCCATTCATTCAGCTCTGCAGCTAAGCCAAATCAAACAGCAAATTTTCACCAAAAAATAAATAGAGAGACGAACAGTTGGGAACAAAAAAAAATTATAAACAAGAACAATTGATAAAGTTATTAACCAAGGCGATTAACAGTGGAGAACCGACTGTATTCCCTTCTTCACACTTCACTGCTTCTCCCCGTTGGGGCAATCTCTCGCAAAATGCCCTTCCTCCCCACAACTGTAACATTCTCCGCCTCCGCCACCGCCTCTCCCACCGGAATATCCACCACCACCGCCGCCGCGGCCGTACCTTCGGCCTCCTCTTCCGCCGCCGCTGTAGCAATCCCTAGCCAAATGCCCAAATCGCCCACAATTGTAACACTCTACACCGCCCCCGCCTCCTCCGTCCCCGTACCCGCCGTCGTAATTGTACCCAGAACCTCCGCCGGACCGGCCACCGCCTCTCGATCCTCTCCCGTAACCTCCGCCGCCCCTGCCTCTCCCGGCGTGGAATCCCCTGCCGCCGCCGCGCGGGGGAGCGCGGCGGGATCTGGAGACGGCAGCGACATCGACGGCCTTGGAGCGCCCGTCGTCCGCGAAATCGACGGAGAATTCGACGGCCTGGCCGTCGGAGAGGGTACGGAAGCCGTCGGATTGGATGGAGGTCTGGTGGACGAAGAGATCCTCGCCGCCGTCATCGGGAGCGACGAAGCCGAAGCCTTTCCTGGCGCTGAACCACTTGACGGTGCCGTTGCATCGTTTGCTCTCCGTCATGGATTGGAGATGGCGGAGAGAGGAAGCTTCTAGATGGTTCTAGAAGGCGATTTGTCGATGGATGAACGGAGATATGGCGTAGGCCGTTGTTGTGTATCGAGATTCGAGAGAGTATGGAAGGGAAGATACTGGGGAGGTTTTTTTTTAGTTTTTTATTGTTTTGCTTTTTTGAGGTGGTTAGATGGGTTGACAGGTGTCCGGATCTGAACGGTGGAAAGTGGATTAGGTCTGACATTGACGGATGTGAAGGGCTCGACGGTTGTGAAGGGATGGTGGGTTTATCCGTTTCAGGTTCTGAATTTTGATTTCAGGTTGGGGGTGCCCGATCTTTTATTTTATTAGGATTTTTTTTAGCAACTAAAAAAATTTATTAAAAACGTCATCGTTTTATAAGATTTTCAACTATGTGTGGACACCAACTTTGTACTAGGGTTATTGGCCGCAGCTAAACGTATAAGAGGAGGTAATTACCCAGAGCTGGGGGAGGCTTTAGCCGCGGAGATGGGCATACAAATTGCAGCTCAACATCAGCTGGGAGTGCCTACTCTCGAAGTAGACTGCATGAATCTTGTGAAGAGTCTTAATGTGGCGCACGAAATTCAAACTAAAGTGGGAGTAGTGTGTCGCAAGATTAGGAAACTTTTGCTGGAGGTAGGAGGAGGAGATTGGAAGTACGCTAGTCGGAAGGCAAATGAAGCAGCACATGTTATGGCTCATACGAGAACTAGTTGGGATGAGGTTGTTATATGGTTTGATAGACCACCTGTTTTTCTGCTTGATCAGCTGCAGCTGGATGATGTAACAGTGTTGGTTGATTAATAAAGCTTTGCGCAGATTCCCATAAAAAAAACTTTGTACTAGGGTGGCTATACAATCCGGTCCAGTTAAATTGGACCAAATTGATCCGGTTCTTGCTGGTTTTTTCGAGAAAATAAGGATCAAAGATTTGATTGGGTACAGACCGGTCTTGATCCGGTCTGGTTCCAATTCAGTCTTGATTTTATATTGAGTTTGTGGGGATTTGAATGTTTTGAGGCTTCAAAGGGTAAGGAGTTAGTTAAGTTTTGGGTGTTAGGCTCTCTTATCCAGTCTTTATTCTGGTTTTCGGTCCGGTCCCGAACGGTTTTTTTACCTCAAATCTAAGCCCGAAGATGAGATTGAATTGTTTGCTATCCGGACCCGATCCGATCTTGATCCCAGTTATACGGTCCGGTTTAGGATAGAATAAAAAGTCTGGACCAAATAGCCGTCCCTAATTTGTACCACTCGTTGGCTGAATGAGTTTCCTTACATATGCATTCACTATGGGTGATCATACAATTGAAAGTGAGAAATCTGCTGAAGAAGTTGAGTTTTATTTTGTTTTAATTGTGTGCTGATTATCATCTTTGTTATTCTTTCGGTTGATGTATATGTGGGCTTGACCCAATTCCCATTACACGTGTATCAGGTTTGGAGTGTGTGGGGATTGGTCGAGTAGCTAGCTAGGGTTTGAGAGTCCCTAGCAAATGTATATATACGTATGTAACCTAACTGCTAAAGTTAAGTTGAATAAGAGAAACGATAGTTTCGATCGTGGAATAGTCTCGTTCACACTGAACGGGGAAACCAAGTAAATCTGTGTATTGATTTCCGTTTCTATTTTGATATTACGTATTGTCTAAGATGGTATTAGAGCCTATGTCGTCTGATCAGATCACTACTCGTCTTAACTCCAAGAATTATGCGATATGGGAGTTTCAGTTCTGCACTCTGATTAAAGGAAAAGGGTTTCTCAGATGGCTCGACGGCACAACCGCTTGACCTATCAAACCAGGAAGAAGACGAGTGATCTCCAACGGTTGATTACAGAAGGCGCGAGCTGGATATTTGAAGAAGAAACGAATCAGGCAGAAACGAAACGTTTCTGCCTTCCCCTCCATCCGATGTTTCAGTGAAGACCAAAGCGACGTCGTGGAGGTTTATAAGTGTAACGTTGGATGGAGCTCCGAAGGCCAATCACGCGAAGACAAATGGCGTTCTTTATTTACTGCATTTGATTTTCTGTTTTAACAGACGATTTCCAGTTTTACTGTTTCTGCACTTTACCTTTTCACTCAGCTATATATACAATGAAACAGAGGAGAATCTCTCCTTGCGGGTTTCCTCATTCTGTGCCGCCTTCACTCTCCCTTCCTCTACAAATCCTAAGCTCATTGAGCTTTTTCTTATGGTATCAGAGCTGGAACAGTTCCAGTGATTTGCAATGGCGAATACACCTCGTCCAAACACTCCTGGTGGCACTCCACTCAATGCTGGAGCAATTCCTTTTGGCAGCTTCGATGGTCAGACGAGTGGAGGAAGCAACAACGCCGGGACAACCAACAACAACAACAACAATGGACCAGCAGATCTACTTTTTGGTAACCCATTTTACATAAACCCAAATGAAAACATCTCACAGTCGATTGTTTCTGAAAATCTTGATGGTTCAAACTACCAAATGTGGCAACGAGCAATTCGTATGGCTTTGAAGACTAAACACAAGATAGGATTCATAGATGGTACGATTGTCATGCCACCTGCTGATGATCCTACTTTTGGGTTATGGGATGCTTCGAATACTTTGGTTCTATGCTGGATTCTTAACTCAATTGAGAAGGAAATTAGAAGAAGTGTTATGCAGCATGAGAATGCCCAGGTTCTCTGGGAAGAGCTGAAAAGGAGATTTGGGCTTCCAAATGCCATTAAATTGGCCAATCTTCAGGATCAGATCATTGCTTGTAAGCAAGGATCCATGAATATCACACAGTATTACACAGCGTTCAAGGGACTATGGGAAGAAAATTCACAGTTTAACCCTATAGTTGAATGTGATTGTGTGGCACAACGCACTCGACCTTGTGCAGCTGTGGAAGCTTTTAAGCAGAAGCAGGAAGTGGAATATCTCATCCACTTTCTGAAAGGGTTAAGACCTGAATATGAGATTGTGCATACACAGCTGCTGATGATGAAGCCACTTCCTACAGTGGACAGTGCTGTAAATGACTTATTGCAGCATGAACAGAAGATTAAAGGAGACAAGGCTGGAGGGACTAAGGGAGTTCAAACTGTGGCACTTGCTGTTACAGGGAATTCAAGTAATCAACAGAAGGGTATGGATATTACTTCTGATGGGAAGAAGTTCTGCAGGTACTGCAAGAAAGAAAACCATACCATTGATGAATGTTACAGTCTCAAACGTAAGAAGGCAATGATGGCAGGAGGAAATGTGGCTGCAGCTGTTTCTCAAAGTGACTCCTCCACTGACAGTGACACTGCTAGTTCAGAAACCAAACTCAGCATTGATACTAGACCCTCCAGTGGCAGTTTTGGCTTATCTTCTGAAGAGTTGAACAAGTTGAGGTTCCTCCTGAACTCAGTCCCACCTTCACCAAGCCCATCTCCACCAGCTTCTCCCTCCATTAATCATCATGCTTTCTCAGTGGCACAGCACATTCCTCATTTTCCAAACCATGCTGGTAAATACATCCTCTCTTCTTACCTTCCACAACAATCTAATGGGTTGCTTGGTATATGGATACTCGATACTGGTGCCTCTGACCATATAGCTTGCAGCCTAGATCTCTTCTTTGAGTCCACCCCAGTTCAGAACCAGTTTGTTTTCCTGCCTAATGGAACCAAAGTTTCTGTGAGTCATATAGGGAGAGTTAAACTTCCTTCAGGACTAGTACTTGATAATGTCCTTCTTGTGCCCAGTTTCTCATTCAACCTAGTTTCTGTGAGTAAACTTACAAATGACTTACCAATATCCTTACACTTTGAATCTGACTCTTGCCAAATTCAGGACCTAATGACCCTCAACAGGACTGGTTTGGCAAAGCAGATTAGAGGCCTATATCAACTAAACTTCAAGACTACCCCATCTCCTTCACCATCTCATTCACAACCTCAGGCAGCAGCCATCTACAACTTTTCCCCTCAAACATTTGACCTGTGGCACTGGAGACTTGGACATGTTCACAGAGAGAAAGAGAGACTATTAGTACCATGTAATAGGATCTCTAGTTTACACTGTGAAACTTGTCATTTTGCCAAACACAAAAGGCTTCCTTTCCCTGTTAGTTCTTCTCGTGCACAGGATGCTTTTTCTCTTATTCATGTGGACATCTGGGGTCCATTGGCTGTTAAGTCACATGATGGTTACTCCTATTTTCTAACAATTGTTGATGATTACTCAAGAGGTGTCTGGACTTACTTGATGAAGTATAAATCTGAAGCTAGTAAACTGTTAGAATCATTCTGTGTGATGGTGTCTAAGCAGTATTCAAAACATGTCAAGGTTGTTAGAAGTGATCAGGGAGGTGAGTTTCACATGGCAGAATTCTATGCTGCTAATGGGATTGAGCATCAACTTTCTTGTGTTGAGACCCCTGAACAGAATGCCAGGGTTGAAAGGAAACATCAGCATATACTGAATGTTGCCAGATCATTGAGGTTTCAATCTGGAGTCCCCCTTCAATTCTGGAGTGACTGTGTGTTGCATGCTGTGTATCTCATTAACAGAATCCCCACTTCTGCCCTGAACAACACCTCCCCCTATGAACTACTTTACCACAAACCTCCTAGCCTCTCTGGCTTAAGAGTCTTTGGTTGTTTATGCTATGCTGCCACCTTGCATAGGGATAGAACCAAATTTGATTCTCGTGCAAGGCAATGCATCTTCCTTGGCTTTCCTTCTGGAATTAAAGGTTTTAAACTTTATGATCTCAATTCTCACAGTTTCTTTGTCTCTAGAGATGTCACATTCTATGAGACAATTCTACCTTTCAACATTTCTTCTTCCTCTTCTGCTCCTCCTAATCTCCTTTCAGATCCTATCCATCCTATCTTGCCACCAATACCTTCAGATAGCCCTTCTTCCTCTTCACCACCTACCACATCCACTTCCCAGAATGCTCCCAGTTCATCCACTTCTCCTAATTTCTTCCCATCTCCAACTCCTTCTTCTCCTTCTTCTTCTAAACACACTACCTGTTCAGAGTCTCCTGGTTTGCATTCTGGTGGGGGGGAGGTTGAGATTGAAGTTTTTCCTGATGATGATGCTCCTAATGAGGCTGAACTCCTCAGAAAGTCCACTAGAACCAGAAATGTCCCAGCATGGCACAAAGACTATGACATAAACATTTCTGCATCATGTTCCAAACATCAAATCTGGAAGACCTTTTCTTATGACAACCTTACTCCTGCACAGAGATCCTTTGCATTCAGTGTCATGATGGATGTAGAGCCTACTTCCTATGCTGAAGCTTGCAAAGATCCCAGATGGAACCAGGCTTGTAATGAAGAGTTGGCAGCATTGGAAGAAAACCAGACTTGGGAAGTTGTGAAGTTACCTGAGGGTAAGAAAGCTGTAGGTTCTAAATGGGTGTTCAAGATTAAACACAAGTCAGATGGGACTATTGAGAGATTTAAGTCCAGAGTTGTTGCCAAGGGATACACACAGATATATGGGATTGACTTCCTAGACACATACTCACCAGTGGCCAAGATTAACTCTGTGAAAACACTGTTGGCAGTAGCAGCTTCAAAAGACTGGCACATTCACCAGATGGATGTCTCCAATGCATTTCTGCATGGAGACCTAGAAGAAGAGGTTTACCTTGAAATACCTCCTGGAGCTAATGTTCCTAGAGGTCAAGGCCTGGTTTATAGACTTAAGAAGTCTCTTTATGGACTCAAGCAGGCTAGCAGGCAGTGGTTTGCCAAACTGACCACTGCATTAATGAAGAATGGTTTTTCTCAAACCTCTTCAGACTATTCTATGTTTGTGAGATGGATCCAAGGCAGAATTGTTGTGGTTCTTGTGTATGTTGATGATATCCTAATTGCAGGAAGCTATCTGGGTGATATTGAACAATTAAAGCTGTTTCTTGGGAAAGAATTTAAGGTCAAGGACCTTGGCCAAATGAGTTACTTCCTGGGGTTAGAGGTTTTGAGAGACCACAAGGGAATCTCATTGAGTCAGAAGAAATATTGCCTGGAATTAATTACTGATGCAGGGTACATTGATGCAAAAGGATGTTTGTCCCCTGTTGATTGCAACTTGAAGTTAACAGCTACACAAGGAGAAGCCTTGCCTGATCCTACTGTGTACAGGAGATTAATTGGTAAACTCCATTATCTCACAATCACTAGGCCTGATATTACCTATGCTGTTCAGCAGTTGGCTCAATTCCAAGGAACTCCAACTGTTGTACACCTCCAAGCAGCTGATAGGGTTATCAGGTATTTGAAGCACACACCAGGTCAGGGTCTCATGTTCAAGTCTGACTCTAAATTAGAACTATCAGGGTTCTGTGATGCTGACTGGGCTAGTTGCCCTGATTCAAGAAGGTCTCTGACTGGTTATTGCACCTTTCTGGGGACATCTCTCATCACTTGGAAGACAAAGAAGCAAACAACTGTGTCACGTTCATCTTCTGAAGCCGAGTACAGAGCTCTGGCACAAGTTGTCTGTGAAGTCCAGTGGCTGAGGAATTTGTTGCTGGAAATGGGAGTTCAGGTTCCACTTCCAATCCCTCTTTTCTGTGATAACAAGTCTGCTTTACATATCGTAGAAAACCCAGTTTTCCATGAAAGAACAAAGCACATCGAGATCGATTGCCATGTTACAAGGGAAAGACTGAAATCTGGGTTGATTAAGTTGAGCCATGTGAGAACTGACGATCAAATTGCTGACATCTTTACGAAGGGAGTCACTCGTTATCGACTGAAATTCCTCTTGGACAAGCTGGGAGTCTTCAACGCCTACTCGCCAGCTTGCGGGGGCGTATCAAACCAGGAAGAAGACGAGTGATCTCCAACGGTCGATTACAGAAGGCGCGAGCTGGATATTTGAAGAAGAAACGAATCAGGCAGAAACGAAACGTTTCTGCCTTCCCCTCCATCCGATGTTTCAGTGAAGACCAAAGCGACGTCGTGGAGGTTTATAAGTGTAACGTTGGATGGAGCTCCGAAGGCCAATCACGCGAAGACAAATGGCGTTCTTTATTTACTGCATTTGATTTTCTGTTTTAACAGACGATTTCCAGTTTTACTGTTTCTGCACTTTACCTTTTCACTCAGCTATATATACAATGAAACAGAGGAGAATCTTTCCTTGCGGGTTTCCTCATTCTGTGCCGCCTTCACTCTCCCTTCCTCTACAAACCCTAAGCTCATTGAGCTTTTTCTTAACCTGAGGCAACAGAAGTAGAGGCACTCGAGCAATGGGTTCTTACCGACGCTAAGGTTTGAATGATGCTTTTTAAACCGGTTGATGCATCAATTATTTTGGGTCTTTATATGCTTCCTACAACTGCTGCAATTTGGAAGTACCTAGCTGATACATGTAAGACGGCTGGGGTGTCTCGTCAATATGAGGCCGAGGTCGAGCTTGCAGCGTTGTTCCAAGTAAGTATGGATGTGACTTCATACTACAATGCAGTTCGCAACCTGTGGACAGAACATGATATGATCACTACAAGTCTTCTCACTACTGCAGGGACGCAGGAGGTCAAGGCGTAGAGGGAAAAGATTCAGCTGATGCTGTTCCTGATGCGCCTGAATGGCTGAATCCGGAGTTCGAGACGATTCGTGCCTCTCTGCTGAACCATGAGAATCTTCGGATCGACGGTGTGTTGGGTGCCCTCATGCAGGAGGAAACGTGACTGCGAACTCAAGCCGCGATGGATGTCCGCTCCGGTACAGGTGATCACGCGGGCTTTAGTGCCGCTCCTAACCAACGCAGTTGGGTTCGTCGGGTGCTGTTGCTTATGGACGACGCTCTGCGTCAGCTGCTAATACTCGTGATGCGGGCGGGGAGCATGGGGAGGCAGCTTATGCAACGTATCGTGCTGCCTTCCAGCGCCAAGTCAACTCCTCGGATGTAGAGTGCTTTCATTGATGAGAGAATGGACATACGAAGAAGTTCTGCAAGAAAAAAGAACTTTTACGTCTATTGTAAGAAAACTGGGCATATTATTCCTAATTGCCCCGGCCTGGAGGGACATTTTCGTGATGGAGAAGGGCATGGTGGCTCCTCCTCTCGAACTATAACTGGTAAAGTAGCAGTTCTACAGCAAATCTGTCTTGTGGAAAATTTGTTTCTCCAAGTTGCTAATGGTGAAACGTTACAAGTATCGGGAATGGGTTCTGTTCATAATTCGTCTATTGATTTACCTTCTTCATATCATGTGCCGAAACTTGTTCCCAGTTTGATTTCCATGGGTCAGCTTACTGATCAAGGTTATCGTGTTATATTTGCACCGTTTGGCTGTGTTGTTCAGGATCTAAAGACAGGGAGGGAGATCGGTAGGAGAAGGGGCGGATCTTCTACCTCGAGCAACTGCAATCTCCATCATCATTTGTGTCGTGTACCATCCCCGAGTCTAGGGATCCTTTGATTTTGTCGAGTATACCTTCTGATAGTTTTCGGTTATGGCATGCTAGGTTGGGTTCGCACTCTAGTCAACTTATGACCATGTTTAAGCAACATTTATTCGTAACTCATGTTAAAGCACAATGTTCGTCGGATTTTTCGTGTACTAGTTGCATGCAGGCTAAAACTACTCAGTTATTTCTCAGCCTTTTCATCTTATTCATATTGATCTACGAGGAGCTAGTCTTGTCACTTCCCGTCTTGGCTATAAAAATTTTGCCTTGTTTATTGGTCATGCAACTAGGTAAACGTGGTTATATTTCCTTTGACTAAAATCTGATCTGTTATCTGTTGCCACTGAGTTCCTTGTTATGATCAAAACCCAGTTTGATAGAACTGTTCGTGTAGTTTGTTCTGATCCCGATGGTGAGTTCAGTTTTGGCCCTTTACTACGTCTCTACCAGTCTTTGGGCATTCTCTCTCAAAAATCGTGTCCCAGTGTCTCTCAGCAAAACGGGTTGGTTGAGCGAAAAAATCGTCATGTTCTGGAGAGCAGCAAATTTTGAATGGCAAAAGGCCCATAAAACTCCGCTATTACATGTTGGTGGATTGAGGGGTGGGAAAGTAGACCAGACCGTTTGAAAAAACATGGACCAAATCGGATCACGCAGTTTGATACGGTCCTTAGATTGTTAAGAATGGTCTGGTACATGATCTGTATAATATGAAGTTTTGATTTTTTGGTCTGGTCTGGTCTAGATAATGGTTTAACGGACCAAGATCATGGACACAGTCGACTTCCCAATACGTGTTAGCAGCCCACTCGACTACTCTCACGATTCCCCCCGACAAGACCCAAGTCTCAACTCTAATTTTGAGAAACTCGTTTAATCTTTCATTAACAACCACATTTCACTAGAGAGTAGAGACGATCGTGTCTCCATATGACATTATGTTAATGTTTATGATATTATGGTGCAAGTTGGGATGCTTTGAATTTGTATTTTTGTTGTTTACTGAGATTTAGGGTGTCAAAATTCTTCATGCATGTTAGAATTTATATGTTAAGGCAAAAAACAAATTTTTTTCTCGGTTATTGATTCAATTTTTTGTGTGGTTGACTAAATGAATTGTTCATTGTTGGTCTATCTAGACCAGACCACACAATCATGGTCTGGTCTGGACCGTATTGTACCCGGTCTGGTCTCTGATCTATACTCCAGCCTCTCGATCTGGACCATAGACCGTATATATGACCTGATTTGTACAAGAACGCACAATTTCCCAAACTTAATGAATTTATTGTCGAATTAATAATATAATCATAATTAAAAAAAAAAAGACATTAATAACCTCACTATCCGCCGTCGGGCTTCCATCCCAGTAACAATATAAATTAGAAGCTCCTAGGCCCAGGCCCCCAGCCCACTATGTAACACAGCCGGCGCCCCCAACCCAATACCCATCACCGGCAATTGGTAAAGCCTGCCTACCTTTCCCCAACGCATTTCGCACAATCGCGATTCCTGCTATTCTCGCACTTCGCAGTTCGCTCTTCGCACCTAGCAATTGCTCGCCCCGACCCGCAGGAGAAGAAAAGGTCGAGTTACGACCGGACAAGGGCAATGCTTCGGCCGCTACCTCGCTCGTCGGTGATTCTCCCAGCCCTGGACCTGCTCGTCGCCGCACCGTCGTTTTCCTCTTCCCGATCGGCTGCGCCACGCCTGTTCCGCCTCTCCGACCTGCTATAGTTTCTATTCCCACCGTGTCTTTCTTCAATTCTGCCGCTTCAAGCTTCCAGCCTTCGCCCTTCCCCTTCAACTGGACATACATCAAAGGTCATGTAAGTTCCATTCGACCATTCCATCGCCTCCTGCCCTTCCTAACTATTTTGCTTGCAAACAGCGAGTAGACCCATTCCACCATTAGCACCCTTCTCACCTTGATTTTATTCAATTTCTGTCACCGGGAGAAGGCTGGACATTGCTCTGTCTTGTGGCCCGGTTAGGCTGCTTCCGAATTCGTCTTCCTTCCAGGTTAGGTAACAACGCAGTTGGTCTGTTTCTTTGCCATCTGGATCAGGCTGCTGCTATTCCACCAAATAAACTCATTATGAGAAACTAAAAAGCTAGGAAAGCAAAAAAAATATAAGCTTCTGTGTCTCGTCACACGATTTCTTACTTTTGTGGATGGAAAATGAAAAATCTGCCGAAAAGGTGAAGTCAGTAGATAATTCGTGAATCTGGCTTTTGGGTGGTGGTCGTTAGTTATCGCCTCGACGTAGTCCTGTTTGGATAGAAGATGATGCCATTGACAATGATGGGCCACTTCTATCTCCCTACCACTCGATTAAAAGCAGAGGTGGAGCAGTTGCATACATAACACCTAAGCTATCGACACCTTTTGATAAAAAGGCTTCTAGTTTATTAGCTTGTGTGAAGTTTGCCTTTTTGGAATCTGATGGTGGGATTAAATTAATGGAGCCCCATGTGATGTTAACAAACAAAAGCTTTTGCCTTTTTTCTTTTGCTGCAGTTGGTAATTAGTGATATCAGAGGTTGAGTCTGTTACCTATTAAAGAAATAGCGTTCCTTGCTACAGTCTGTAATTAGGGATGTCATCATGTTCCATTAAATTATTCTTTGATAGTCATATGGTGTCTGGCATCCCGCTGTGCACTGGAGGCTAATTTTTCTCAACGATTGACCAGCTTCAGTTACGTTTTGCATAATGTTCGATTGCCTTGTGGGCTGTGGTTATATTGAATTTAATTTCGTCTATTCACAGGGAGTAAGAGTTAGCTTCTGCAATCTGCATCAATGGCTGAAGCAGGCAAAGATTCTAGCTTGATTGAAGGCAGTGGAAGAAATGGGTCGTTTGGTCGGACAACAAGCAGCGTGGAGGGTTCTTCTCTCCGGAGGCGGTCTTCTAGTCTATCTCGTACACTGTCTTTCCAACCAGAATACGGTGGTGTGGAGAGTGATAATGTGTCCGAAGCGGGTGATATTGGGGACAGGGCGCTTCACAGTAGCAGCAGGTTCAGTGAAGATGGTGGGAGTGTTAGGCGGCTATCTCTTGAGATTGCATTGGAAGGTGGTGTTGCCTTCCCGATTCCTGAGGATGATGCAAAATCACCTGTGTACCCGTTGCCAGAGGAAGGTGGTGCCGTTCTTGCACCTCGTTCCACTGAGCCAATGATTGGGTCCAAGGAGGTAAATGAAAAACATGTGACACTATTCTGTTACAGTTTAGTCAATTGGTTATTATTATTGTGACGTTCAGCGGATGAAGATCCTGATGAATCTGTCCTTTTAACGTGCAAGAGAAGGAGGACTCATGGAGATTGCCGCCGTTGTTTGAGTACGTCTCATGTTTGCTTTATCTGGCCGTTTTTGGGATTCTTGGGGTAATTTCTGTGTTTTTGTTAATTGGCCTTTGCTCGGATTTGCACAATGCTTGATTCCTATATGTTAAGCCCCCTTCTCTTGTGTACCTTGCCTCTAGTATGCTTTTTTACTTTCCATTGTGCTATTTTTGTGTACTTGAAGAAATTAACTTTTCCATCTTGCCAACTTATGCAAGACTCAATTTTGAGCATCCATTTCTTGGCTTTGCATGAAGTGGAATCTAGAATCAAGTGACTGAAATAGACTACTCTAAACGGATGACTTTAAACAAGGAACCTAGTACTAAGCATGAAACACAGTGTGCTGGAATCTAATGTTTTCTTTGTGACTGATCTCAGTACTCTACATGAGTTGTAGATGAGTAAGGAAGGCCCCATCACAATCACGCGTTTGCTTTTGGTGCTTCCTGTGAAAAAATTCTGCAGTCTGAATGGCAAGCATTGACTTTGTATTATAGTAAGCTGTCTGTGATTGCTGAAAAGTGTTTATATGCTTTTTCCTTAAAGGTGATCTAAGTACTCTAGATGAGTAATTATGTGGTTGTTTGCACAGGTTCATATTTCCTTTCCTTATACTTACTGTGAATGATGTTAGCTGTCAGTGATCTCCTTGCATATTCTCTGCTGTCTATTTCAGATGTTACACATGGTTATGAAGGAAATTGATCTTTGTCGTGAATTATGAATTTGATTTCAGTGGAGCTCAGGCAATAGCCAACAGACGATGATCTTTTGGTTTATCATGGGTTGCAGGTTTTGACAAGGTACTTACTGCAAAAGCTTTTTGGCCCTGGGATTGCTCGTGTAACAAGTGATTCCAGCCCTCTGTACCTTGACCTGCCTTCTAATATGGTATGTGATTTTGAATTTTCAAATGTTTTATCCCCTGCTTTGTTAGAGGATCCCAGGGGTTTTGAAATTCTCCTTAAGTGCATGGTGTAGTTATGCACAAGAGAAAAACCCAGCTTAACACCTGAACATAATTTAAAAAACACCGGGATCCAGATGTAGTTGTTTAATAATCCAATTCATAGACACTGACTTGGTTCAGCCCCTTGAACTTTGCTTTGAGCAAGGTGAAAATGATTGAGGCCGTTTCTAGAACAAGTTATTGTATTGAAAGAAAGGTAGCAATTACTCAACCAATTTGTTTTAATTTGTGGTCTTCACTATAGGAAAACAAATCTGTTGTTTTCTTCACCTTGATTAAACCACATTACTTGTGCACTATTTTTAGGTGGGTTCTTTCCTGATGGGATGGTGGGGTGTTGTCTTCAAACCACGAATATCTAGTGTGTCTGATCATCTTGCCATTGGATTAACGACGGGATACTTGGGAAGCCTCACAACTTTTAGTGGTTGGAATCAGAAAATGCTTGATCTCGTCGTTGATGGCGAATGGGTCTATGCTGTTTCCGGCTTTCTCATAGGTAATGCAACAATCAACAAGACTAACATTTAATATTTACCCCATACAAGTCCTAGACAAATGAATCCGCATTCTGCACTAACTTGTAAATCAAACTTCTACTATTACAATGTCTTGTAGGCCTGTTCCTTGCAGCATACTCCATCAAGCTTGGGGTGGGGACAGCCAAATGCTTCCAACTAGCAACCCAAAGGCTAAATTGTGGACATTGCAACTGGACTGTAAATACTTGGAGGCGTCATTTGGCTGTGATGATAGTACTGGTGTTAATGCTTGGCCTTCTATGGACTCTTAGTGGCACGTTGCTAAGTAAAGAGTTCAGTAGCACCGAGGCCCAACTATGGATAGCCTGCATAGTTGCTGCTCCAGGGGTATGGATCAGGTGGTTCTTAGCAAGACTTAACGGTCGTGGTCTGGGGCAGTCAGGTATTCTAAAGTGGGTACCTTTTGGTACTTTGATTGCGAATATCTCTGCAGCTTGTATAATGGCAGGTCTTGCAACAGTAAAGAAGGCGGTCAGTACTACATTCCACCCCTCCCTTTGGCTTGGTGGTTTTGGAACAATCCTGATGTGTTCATCTTAGTTGTGGGGTTGAACTGTGGCTGTTATGTACATGCAGGTGGATACCAAAAACTGCAACACGATTGCAACAGGTGTACAGTTTGGATTCCTGGGCTGTTTAAGTACTGTTTCGACATTCATGGCGGAGTATCATGCCATGGAAGAGAGTAGCAAGTTTTGGAGAGCGTACCTATATGGGTTGGTAACTATATTAGCCGCTTTTGCTCTGGGAATTTTAATATATGCTGTTCCTGTTTGGTCCAGAGGATACAGTTGAGCTTCTCCAAGAGTGCCTGAGCGGAGAGAACTCAAACTGCGCCATCGTGAACATGCTGGTACGAAGTAAATATGAGTCAGAAACGCAAAGGAACTTGTAGATGCAAGTTTAGAAGAAGAAGAAGAATCCTTAGATATCTTGTTTTAAGCACCAGTTGTTTATCTGGGAAGGTAAACAGAAGCACGAATGTCGTGAAACCATGTACAGTTTGAATATGACTTGTCACACTCACAGTAAGTCAGTAATCCCTCAAGATGTAAGGAGTGCTTCAGTAGTCTTCATTTTGGAGTCTTGTAAACCCGAATTCAGGAGTGGATAATAATTCATTAATATTCATTCTCTATTTCTGGCAAAGGTTTATTGGAAATCACGTCATATGTTTTGTGGTTCTTATGTCTGCCGGTTTTCCTTCCATTCCATGTGATAAAAGTTCAGAACTCATTCCTAACTTCCTCTGCAAAAATCGTTGTTCACTGTATGTTGATGGTCTACGCATTTAGTTCTGTGCATAGCTGTTAAGCGCAGGTAGAGATTATTTGTCTTGTATTGCTTTCTTCCAAAATAAATGTCTTCAGGCAACAGTTAATGGTTCTGGTTTGGTTTGGTTAGGTTTTGGTGTTTAGATAACGATAGGTGGTTTGATTTGATTTTGGTAATAGTTATTTTGATGTCTTGTGATCATTAAATGTATAATTAAGAAAATATTCGTGTTCTCAACGTCTACAGTATCGATTGTGGTTGCAGGTTTATTTGGCTTCTCTGGGATAAGAAAGAAAGAGAATTGAAATCACTCCCTTCGACAATTGAAGCAAATTTTGTCGACGGGAATTCAAAAAGAGAGAGAGACGGAAGAGACGATGGTATAAAGGAGAAAAAAAAATTATGACGTTGCATTTATGTGGCAAGTGAGGTTGAGTTGTTGCTGAAGTCTGCGTCAATTTGGCATCCTAGTCAGCATACCATTAACATAATTGACGGAATCTCAATTACCGTTAAAGTTTGTAACTAAATAACTAGATTTGTCAAACAACCATCCAAAATTTTGACTATTTTGTGTATTTCTCAGAAAGTGATTGTTATTGTCACAAACTCGAAAGTTGTGGCTATGCATATGTATTTTGCCTGTATTTTGTTGTTTTTTTACGAAAACATGACTTAACGTTTTTTAGTGAGTTTCTGTCACTTCAAGCAAACAACTTATACTATTAAATTAAAAAAGTTATACAACATTGTAATAATTCGAGACAAACTATCACCAAAACCAAACAATCCTAAAATTAAAAACAAATCTTTGATATTGATAAGAGCATTTGTTGTGCTAGAGTTTTCTAACTTGTTTGTTTGTTTATCTTATCTAGGGATGGCAATGGAGCGGGTTTGTCTAAACCATCCCCATCCTTATTTTCAAATACCTAAACCCATATCCGTCCCAAACTTATGCGGGGAATGTTTTGCAAACCCATCTCCATCCCCATACCCGTGGGTTTCGAGTACCCATGGGTAATACCCGTCCCCATACATCCAACATTATTATACCTAAAATTTAGAAGAAATTTGTAATTATAACACTAAACGAATCTATTATATCATGAAGTCAACAACACACGATTATTTTCTTAATACGGTTCAAAAAATATGATCCTACAAGATTCATTAATATTTAAGTACAATATTTTTCAAATTATTATGCTTTAACTCTCATACATCGACTATGTAGTAATTAACTAACATAATGTTTTTGACAAGGGGAAAGTGAAAGAGTGAAGGGAAAATTGAGCAAAATGAATTAGGTTTTAATTAGGGTGGCCACTCAATTGCATTTTTACTATTTATTTTCTTGAGCTATCCTCATCGTCATTGATAGATTACAATTTGATCCACAATTCTCTTGGTGGGGTGGGGGAGGCTAAAACCATACCCGCCCCATACCCATCAAACTTTTTGCGGGTTTTATCCATACCCGTCCCATACCCGCGACCATGGGTTTGATTGCCATCCCTAATCTTATCTATCTCCTTTATAAAATTTTCATTAGTTTTGTAATGTTTTGACAAGTTAATTCAATGCAAAATTTTCATATTTCAATTCTTTCCATTTAACAAAAGAAAAAAATCGAGCACGCATTCGGTTTCTAATCATGCATAAAATTTTCCGACTTAATTTAACGGACTATATCTTCCATTTTAACTTGGAATTAGAAAAAAGAATTACAACGAAAAATCAGATTAATCTTGTTTTGAAAATGATATCCACTTTGATATGTTTTATAACAAAAAAGTTTAAAAATATAGTATCAGTCTATACCATGGTGGTAATGCTTAATAGTACATAGGATTGTACCACGGTAATATGAATATACCACAATGTAGAATGATTGTATACATGATAGAAGAATTATACTAACCACTATTTACCATCATTTGCAGGATGTTATATTTGCTAGTAAATTTTTATTTTCAGAAATTTACAAATTAAAATAAATCCGTTGCTTTTGTGCAAAGTTTTTCAAAATTTGAATTATGAACGAAAGTGGTACAGAGTGGCACCAGGTAATACCCGGATGGTAACGAGTAATAATGAGTGGTACAAATATTCTTTTCTTGAAGTATACAATAAAATCAATATAATTTTCTGGATCACAATTAACTTTCTTCATTTGTGCTAAATTTTTTAAAATTTGTATTAAAACAAAAAAGATACAAATTAAATACAAATGAAACATCTTTTAACATGACTTTTTAGATCTGAACCACTAAATCGAGAAGTCCAATTTAGTTTTGTAGACAAAAAAAAAAAAAAACTCTCCCAATTCATTTACTACGAAACAAGAAGACTCTAAAATACCAAACCTTTTTCCGATAAAATATTGTCCATTTTAGCTCTAAACCATCACAATTTTTGATTTAAAATGCATATCAAACTGAATTCCTATAATAGATAACATATGTTGGGATCACTGTCCAACTACCCTCCCTCCCTCCCTTTTGTAGCTCAACCGGCCTCCCTGTGCCAATAATGTGAACATCATTTTCGAAATCATACAACTTTCAAGAACCAATAATGCAGCCAGAAATTCTGTCAGTTGGGCAGTTGCGATTCAATAATGTAAATATATATCTAATATCTAGTGCATACAAATAAGAAATATGTTATTATAAGAATACAATGTTTAGTTATAGGTATTTTCATGTTCTAAGAACTAAAAAGATGTAACTTTAATTAATTGCTTATAACCTTTAAACATATTATAATAGTCATTAAGGTAAGGATACAACTTAATTAGGGGTGGAAAATAGGGTGGGTATGGTTACCCGCCCACATTTTGCGGGTACCCATACCCACAAATTTACAATTATGCTACCCACTGCGGGTTGGTGCGGTTACCGGAAAAATCCATCTTTGAAAGCATGGACTTGAGGCCGCCACTAACGTATTTGTTGTTTGTAGCTAGACTAAAGTGAAATACAATTGTGTTGTTCGTGGAGATACAATTTTGTATATCGATCTTACTCAACGTGAATATTTTTCTTTTCGAGTTTGGTATTCAACTTTTGTGTTAGAGAGCTGTGATTTCATATTTCACCGGTTAGGGGTTGAATATGACAATTAAATATGATATTGTATTTTTTTTCACACAAAAGCAAAACACATACAGACAAAACTTACTAAAGGTGTCCACTTTTAATGAATCCATTAGTCTTCACTCTCTCGATTATAGTGTTTTATAAACTAAAAAATTTCACATAAAACTGATTAGGTGTGTATTTGATTTTGGTGGCTACTTTAATTTTTAGCCTCCCACTTTTCACATACCATTATATTATAAAGTTAATTCAGTAAATAATTAGAATTAGTGTGATTATTATGGATTTTATGTGTTAACCGCGGTAGGTAGTGGATACCACTAACCCCAAAAATCATTATTTTACTACTCACACCCAACCCACTACCCACAACTTGTGGGTATGGTTACCACAATGTGTGGGGGTTGGTACGGTTTGCGGATTATCCGCAACCGGTAACCCAAACTTCCACCCCTATATACAAGTTGATCAAATATGAATATGGCTAGAGATAAGAGTGAACACTATAATTTAGATTTTTGTTATGATTCTAAAATAATAAAAAAATCCTAAACATTCGGAAATGTAAAGTACTCAGATATATGCATTTTAAAACATTCGATAATTTAGTTTCACACAGCCTAGCGGTGAAACCCCTTAGTGGGCACTCGTTCTCGAAAGTGGCAGATCTCGTGTTCGACCCCCACCGAGGCACGCTACAGTATTCTCGTAGGCATTTAATTGAGATTTTCGTGGAGGGTTCGAAGAACTCCAGCAGGTGAACCCCCAAGTTTTATCTCGCTCCACCATCGCTCAATTCCGTGTGTGCATAAGAATATTTGTGGGTTATAAAAAAAAAGAGAAAAGAAAACTATATTTCTTTAAACTTCCAAACAACCTCGTTCTTAGTTTCATTTTCCCATCCAAAGATCGGTCCCAAATTGCCGCACCTACCTCCATATAAATAAGGTACCACGAATATAGAAGAGCGAGGCCTTGAAAATCTCCACCACCTTTCATTCTCTCCATCCCCGCCAAAAAAAAAAAAACAAACAAACAAACAAAAGAAGAACAAGAGAAAGAACAACAAAAAAAAAACAAAAGCAATGGTCAGGGTTCAAGACATAGCGTCGGAATCCAAAGACACGATCCCCGACGAGTTCGTGCGGCTCGAGAGCGAGCAGCCGGCGGCCACCACCGTCCGCGGCGTCACCCTCGAGGTCCCGGTGATCGACGTCAGCGACCAGGACGTGGACAAGGTGAGGAAGCTGATCGTGGCCGCCAGCAAGGAATGGGGGATGTACCAGATCGTGAACCACGGGATCCCGCCGCCGCTCATCGCCGAGCTCCAGAGCGTCGGCAGGCAGTTCTTCGAGCTGCCGCAGGTGGAGAAGGAGGCTTACGCCAAGCCGGCCGGGGCGAAGTCCGTCGAGGGTTACGGGACTTTCTTGCAGAAGGAGGTGGCCGGGAAGAAAGGGTGGGTTGATCATTTGTTTCACAAGGTTTGGCCGCCTTCTGCTATCAACTACAGGTTTTGGCCACGAAACCCGCCTTCTTACAGGTTTGATATATATATATATAACAAACTCTTGGTTCTATCTTGTTATTCAATTTTGTGTTTCCTATGAGGGTTGATATTTAATTTTCATCATTCCTTGTATAACCAAGTTTATGCAGAAATACATAATATTTTTCACCATTGATTTTTATAGGATTGCCTCTACTTGGATTTAATTAGTTCGCTTTTCAAGACGTTTCACAGAAAAATCAGATTAACCGTTCTTTGGGAAAATGATATCGACTGATATTGATTTTGAAAAAAATAGTCACGCTTTAGTACCATGCATAATTTACCACTGTGATACGAACTTCGTATGACAGTAAGAAATGCTGACCGTATTTTCTCACTGCGGTGGAGCTACGTTAAGCCCCTGTTGAGGAGGCGATAGCCCCACTCAACTCTCAAAATCGTATAAAATTACAAGTAAATTTGGTTCTAAATTTTAGAAATATAGTAGTTGTAAGGCTTTAGCCCTCCTCCTCGCCGGTTTTAATTCTATATACGTAAATTTTAGCTCCCCTCATTAAGATTCCTCGCTCCACCACTGTTTTCTCAAAATACATAAAAAAATTTGTATAATTGTGCATATCATCATCCACGCGCGTTTTTCATATGCATATTCGTTAGAATTGAAGCTAAAATGAAGAGCATACAAGCCAATTAAAAAAAAATTGAAACTAATAAATGCCATTCAACTCATTCCTTAAGATATGTGTAATCTCCTATACGTATTTTTTATTCTGACCGGCCAGGGCGGTGAACGAGGAGTACACGAAGCAGCTACATGGCGTGGTGAACAAGCTGTACGACAGCCTGTCGCTAGGGTTAGGGCTCAAAGCCGGAGAATTGAGGGAAGCCCTCGGCGGAGACGAACTCGTCTATCTGATGAAGATAAACTACTACCCACCGTGCCCGCGCCCCGATCTGGCGCTTGGAGTCGTGGCTCACACCGACATGTCGTCGCTCACCATTCTCGTCCCCAACGACGTTCAGGGACTTCAGGCTTGTAGAGATGGCCAGTGGTACGACGTCAAGTACATCCCCAACGCACTCGTCATCCACATTGGCGACCAAATGGAGGTACGTACGTACGTACGCGCACGCGCGCGCGTTTTGTTCGAATTCTCTGAACGTAGATTTTTTTAGTCTTATAGCAATCGTTTAGATTTCTGGCTCGACCAGTACTGCTCCACCTACCTAACACCATGTCCATGGAGAGGAGTTGTATGTGCGGAAGCAAAACCAGTCGACAATTAATGGTGCATGTACAATAATGGTGCATGCTTCCACATATGAAGTAATTGCACTTCACGTGCAGCATTCTTTTATAGGTGTTAGGTAGGTTTGGCAATTGTGTATCAGAATGTTGCTGTGGAGTTAAACTCGGTTTCTGGTACTATTGGGTTAGTTAGGTGCTACTACAAAGCATTATTGCATGTCTAGCTAGTAGGAACGGCGATGGGCAGGTTCGAAGCGGGTATCTCGATATTCATATCTATTCATTGTTGTTTAGGTTCAGGTCGGTTAATTTATTATGGAATGCTGATCGGGTAAGGTAGACCCATATGAGTATGTAATTTATAAAAAAAATATTAGAAATATTCATTTTTCTTTAAAAAATGAAATAAAAAAATATAATATGATAAATTTAATTAAATTATTCAAAAAATCGAGGTTCTCAACCTATTTAGTATTTACAACTTCATTATAGTTTAAATATGAGATAATAAAAGTAAAATGTTAAGTAATGTTAGTAAAACGGCATGTAATTTAGACGAAAATGAATCGAGAATAATGCGGGTCAATAGTCAAGACATGATCAGGTCGAAAAGAGTATATATGCTCCTGCCCAAAATAGATCAAACAAGTCGAATAAAACAAATCAAGTCGAAATTGTCATTCCTAACTAAGAAATGAGTAGCTTTCCTTACTAGGTAGTGGGTACGTAGTAGTTGGCAGGAATTAAAGGCTAAAGCTTTCTTGGATACTAAAAGTTTGGTCATTCCATTTTTTTTGTTGCGCGAGCAGATCGTGAGCAATGGGATCTACAAGAGTGTGCTTCACAGAACCACGGTGAACAAGGATAAGACGAGGATGTCATGGCCGGTGTTTTTGGAACCGCCGGCAGACCACGTAGTGGGTCCTCATCCAAAGCTCGTCGGCGACAAGAACCCGGCCAAGTACAAGACCAAGAAGTTTGGAGACTACTGTTATTGCAAGCTCAACAAAATTCCCCAGTAGATCATGATGATCATTGGCAGCAGGATGCTCTGCCGATATATGTAATATGTATCATAAGTATTATCTGTATTATTGGCTTTAAGTATGCTGTTCGATATTGGTCCTTAACATAAAAAGCATGTAGTAGATCACGCTGTGGCTTGCTGGGAATAAACCATATTCAAGTACTAATTATATGTTCGCGTGAGATTAGTTAGTTCCTTTAAAAAAAAAAAATCAGTGCCTATGAGTAAAATTAAACAAAAGTTGGGTTACAACGAAGATGAGTGGCCGTTCAAACCAAATTTACATTTCATTCCATCTACATTGGACACGTGCCAACAGATATGTGGCAAGTGGCCTTTCATTTTGTTTTCGTCCCCAACCGATTCGTACTTCATTTCTTTCATCAATTTGAAATTGTAATTTGCTACTATTGGTTAAAAAAATTATTTACGCTCACAACGCTTAGGCGAATGAGGCACTAGGTAAGACCAAAATGTTTGCCTTATGCCTAGTGCCTTATTGAACCTTGGTTATTATCAGGCTTAGACCATGCATGTTTATCAGTTGAATATTTGTAATTAGTGGACAATTACTGTTGGGCATGTGACTCGGGCCTGGCCGCGTCAAGGAACGGACGCAACTGGATGGACTCCGACATAGCAGCGCGAAGACCCCGAGCGCGACACCTCATCGTAGTCATCTACGTCCTGGCGCGAAGAGTTTGTGCGCGATGTGAGTTACAGGCGCTGAGGAAGAGCGTAGCGCAGGAAAAGCCAAGAGAGGAGGGAGGCGTAGCTTTCCTCCCCAGGAAGTGGTCACATCAAGGCCAGTGGCAAATCTCTGACACGTCCTAGGTAGGGGGATGGCCGAGACAGGGTCTAAAATCCTTAGTATGTGCCAGTGGTCACATCATTGTATCCCAATTGTCACATCTTGTATCCCCACTTGGGTCAACCACTCACCCACCACAACGAAGCCTATAAATACGGCATTTACTACGGTGGGTGAGGGGATCGCATTTTTTCACCATTCTCTCTCTATAACAATTACTTCTCTTTCTAAAAGTTTGGACTCCGGTCCTCGCTCAACTCTCTAATTCCTCTCTCCCCGATCGAACTTGACGCTCGCGTTTCTTCTTGACCCAAACTCTCATTCGAACCTCACTCCTACACTCAGTTAGGTTCAAACAATTGGCGCCCACCGTGGGGCCAAGGAGAAACGCTAAAGAAAATCCCCCGATGGCAGAGCGCAACCACGACCAGCCTGACCAAGCAACACCAGTCAAGGCAATGACCGACCCGAGGATGTTCGCGGAAGCCAGCAACCTCAGCGCCGTGCTCATTGAAGAAGAAGAGCCCGAACTGACGGCAAAAGAAATGAGGGATCTAGTGAGAAAGCAAAACGACGTCATAGCCGACATGCAGAAACAAATGAGCCAAGTTATCGCGCTCATGATGAGCAGGGATAGCGCGGCAGCGACTGGTGCGGTGGCGGACGCGCCTCGACAAACCTTGGCGGTAGCGCCACAACAGGCTTTGGGAGAAACGTCGGGGACAGCCCAGCCACCCCAACACGGGGCGACGGAACTCCCCGCGTGCGAAGCGCCGGGGATCGAGCCACCAGAGCGGGCGGACCTCAGCTTCTTAGAGCAACATCTGTCTCCGCAGTACCGACCCAACCCGCAAAAAGAGTCCTTCACCAGCCGCTGAGCGCGCAGATAATGGCGGAGAACCTAACAGGAGCGACGCCCGCCCTCCCGACATACAACGGCACGACCGACCCGGAAGACCATGTAAGCACCTTTTGCCTGCGCATGCAACTCCAGACCAATTCCAACGCCGCGCTATGCAGAACCTTCCCGTCGACATTCACCGGCATATGCCTCGACTGGTACAACCGCCTCCCAAATGGAATCATCCACTCATTCGAGGAGTTCATACTCCTGTTCACAACGAAGTTTGCGTCCCAGAAACGGCGCCCGCTTCACCTCAAGGCCCTGATAGATATCAGGCAAAAGGATGGAGAAAACCTGAGAACTTTCTATGCCGATGGTCCAGGATAGCAATGGCCGTCCGCGACCTCACCCCCGAAACAGCCGCCCATCACCTCATGGAGGCCACCAACAATATGGAGCTTAAGCGGGCGTTGGCCAAGAGACCCGTCACGCTATCGACAGAGTTGGAGATGAAGATCGAAAAGGCGATCACGTTGGAAGAAACCTTGGGGGCAGGGTCCGTCAGGCGCTTTGAGCCGGCGAAAATGCCACGAGAAGAACAGGCGCGTCGTCAGCCTCCAGCCGTGATCCCACGAGACCACTTGCTACAGATGCACAGTGGCCCGAAGCGCGCCCCTCCTCCCCCACCAGAGCAGGCGCAACGCGGCCGATCGCCGGACAGGCGCGCGCATAACGCCTACACTCCCCTTAATGACTCAATGAGGAATGTGTTCCATGTCCTTCGCGAGAAGGGTTACAAGATCAACTGGCCTGCCCCGTTGAAATCCCAACCCTACATGCGCGATCCACATAGGCATTGTGAATTCCACAGAGCAACGGGGCACCGAACAGAAGAGTGCCGAGACCTGAGGTACGAAATAGAGGGCCTCATACAGCGAGGGCTGCTGACCGAGTTTGTTCACGTGAAAAAAGAACAAGTTGAGCACCCACAGCACCCGCCGCCGCCACCGCCCCAAGCTGAATATAACGATGACACGGGCGCATATGTAGTGCGCAAGGAAATTGGGGTGGTGACGGTCGAAGGAGACCGCCCCCAGAAGAAAACCAAACGGGAGCGCGCGATGGAGTGCGCGACCACCGACGCGCCGTCAAGGTTCAACCTGAGCTTCGACGACGCGGAATTCCCACAAGGAACCCCATCAGAGGAGCCGCTCATTATCACCGCGCTAATCTCCGCCTGCAAGACCCACCGCCTCCTGGTAGACGGAGGTAGCGCGGCTGACATCCTCTTCCAGAGTACCATTGACAAAATGGACATCGACCGGCGCCTAATCAGGCGCGCGCATGGCAACCTAGTGGGCTTCTCCGGGACTAAAGTCCCGGTCATTGGAGTGGTCACCCTCCCTGTGGTGGTCGGCGACCAGGAGCCTCGCGCCTCAAAACAGGTAGAGTTCACGATTGTCGATTGCGAATCGGCGCACAACGGCATTCTAGGCCGGCCATTCCTTGCGAAGTTCCTGGCTCTCCCATCAACCTGCCACCAGAAACTCAAGTTCCCAACACAGAGAGGAGTGGGAGAAGCCCGGGGAACGACGTGGGAAGATCGCGTCGTGACTCGACAAACCAACATCGTCGACACAAGGGCGGAAGAACCCCGACCGGAGTCGATGGATTCCGATTTTGAGGTCGCGCTAGATCCAGCTGAGCCGACCAGGAAGATACGCATTTCCACTCACGTCAGCAGTGACACAATCGAGCCGCTCGTGGCACTGCTGAAGGAGTACAAGGAACTGTTCGCGTGGTGCACGGAAGACATGCCAGGAGTGCCCAGGGAGGTAGCCCAACATAGCCTTGCAGTGCCAGCCAACGCAGAGCCAAGGCAACAGGGGCGGAGGTCCTTCACGGGCGATAAGCTAAAGGCGATAGAAGAGGAGGTGACGCGCCTACTGGCAGCCGGGCTAATCCGACCCGTGAAATATCCAAAGTGGTTGGCAAATGTGGTATTGGTCAAGAATCATCAGGGGCCTGGCGGATGTGCGTCGACTACACCACGATCAACAGAGTGTGCCCAGGAGACCCTTATCCACTGCCGCGCATCGACCAACTGATCGACGCAACCGCAGATCACGAGACGTTATCCTTCCTCGACATGTTCTCCGGGTACCACCAGATCCCCATGTCAGTGGAAGACGAAGAAAAGACGTCGTTCATGACACCGTTTGGAACTTCTGCTTTGTGGGGATGCCGTTCGGGTTAAAGAACGCGGGCGCGACATATCAGAGAATGATTGACACGGTCTTCTCGCGACAGATCGGGCGGAACATCGAGGCATATGTAGACGACCTCATCGTCAAAACGAAAGCGGGCAAGTCACACCTGCAGGACCTGCGCGAGACTTTCGAAGCTCTCCGCCAACACAGCCTTCGCCTCAACCCACTCAAGTGTGTTTTCGGAGCGGAAGCGGGGAAGTTCCTCGGGTTCATGATAACCAAGCGCGGCATAGAGGTCGACCCAAAGCAAATCACCGCAGTCCAACAGCTGCGGGCGCCCCGGAACGCGCTGGAAATCCAGTCCTAAATGGCAAAATAGCGGCGCTGGGGAGGTTCATACCGCGATCTGCCGACAAGTGCGCGCCCTTCTTCCAAACGCTCAAGAACGGGGCGCGCTTCGCATGGACTCCAGAATGCGAAGCAGCGTTCCAAGAGCTAAAGGCGTATCTTGTATCTCCCCCTGTACTAACGGCCCCCAAGCTTAATGAAAAACTTTTCTTGTATCTCGCCGTGTCAACAAGGGCCGTGAGTGCGGTGCTAATATCTCGAAGAGACGGCAGGACCGAGCGACCGGTGTATTACACCTCGCGCACTCTTGTAAGCGCAGAAACAAGATACTCCTCGATCGAGAAGGCTGCCTTGGCGCTCGTGAGCGCGTCGCAGAAGCTACGCCCGTACTTCCAAGCGCACCAGATCACCGTCCTGACAAACCTCCCGCTAAAAAAGATTCTGACATCGATGGAAGTGTCGGGGCGCATGGTCAAATGGGCGGTCGAGCTGTCGGAGTACGACATTCAGTACGCGCCAAGACCAGCGATAAAGGCACAAATCCTCGCAGACTTCATTGCAGAGGGGGTAACCCTCGAAACAACACCGGAGGGCGTCTGGGAAGTCTATGTCGATGGAGCGGCGAGCAAACACGGCGCCGGGGCAGGGTCGTGGTGCGCACACCTACTGGCGTGGTGCACGAGATCGCAATCAGGTTCCGAGCGTTGAAGACAAACAACGCCGCGGAATACGAGGCCATCTTGGCGGGGATGACAGCCGCTCACGACCTAGGGGCAAGAACGATACGGATACTCTCCGACTCCTCCTTGGCAGTCAACCAGCTGAACGGCGCGTTCGACGCAAAGGAGGACGCCCTGGCACACTACATGGAACGCGTCAAAATGAGAGCGGCAACGTTCGAAGCAGTAACATATGCGCAGATCCCAAGGGAGGAGAATGCGCATGCTGACGCACTATCTAAACTGGCGACGGCCACCGACTTCGAGTCCACGCCTCGTGTCCGTTCAAAAGAAGAAGAGGATACCCCTTCGGAATCAGCGGTCAACACAACACAGCTCATGACAAACGAAGACTGGAGACACCCAATTGTGGAATACCTCCAAGATGGGACGGTGCCGGAAGACCCTAAGCAAGCTTGGGCGCTAAGGCAAAAGGCA